GGTAGTGGAATTGGGCGAAATCTTGCTACCAATAAACCTAAAAGTGTGAAAAAGCAAAGCGGACCAAATGTCACTCATCAGTTGCTGAGCAAAGAAGAAGAATATTTGTAAGAATTGCATAGTAGRCAGTCGTCTCTGGGCTGCGGAAAAGTTTCAAATTGAATGGGATCAAAATATTGCAATTACCACCAATTATATAGATCGCTTGGCACCCAAAATCTGCAAAACCCGTTTTGACTGTATTGTTTTTATTGAAAGGCTGCCAGCCACAGGCAATATCATATAGCAAAATACAAACAAAAAAAGAAAAACATATCTAACCGATCTAACCCTTCTTTGCTGGCATGTTTAGGCGTTTGAATGCAGAGATCGAAGAACGCACTGCAAGCTTAATCAAAGAAGCAGAACAAGTGATTGTAAGTGTATGAGAGAAGTACAAGATTAGTACTTTAAGTAAGCTACATGTAGATATAGACTAATAAGTTATGTTTAAAGTCCGACAATGAGGAAAAATAATTGTTTAGAAGTGCTTGAATCGATAATTGAACCAGCAATCCTCAGTTCAATGCCAGTATTTGTGTGTAAAATTAATAGTACAGTTTAAATAAAACAAAATCTACAGGAACAAATAAACAACTAAAGAAAAAAAAACAGAATTTTTCAGACGTGCTGGAGTTGAGGATTGAACCTGGGTTCCTGAGTTCGCCAAACTGTTAAAATAAATGAGAAATAAAGTCTATTTTAAGACCATGCCGCAGTCGTTCAACCTGAAAACAGTAATTAGAAATATGACAGGGAAATGCTTTGCTTGGGAGTCATCCACAGTTGTGAAGTTTTGTACAAAAGATAAAAGTACAAATTAAAGAAATTTGTACAATGTATGCCTAAATATTTAAAAACATTTATCACAAACAAAGAACATTTTACTCAATGATTAATGGATAGGTCTATTTAAACCAATTGGTTTTGATGATAGTGAACCATCCTTTATTAAAACTAAAAAAAAAGAAAAAATTAAAAACAAAACGAAAGATAGTGYTCAGCCTCAGAGACCTTCTTTTGTCTTTTTTAATTTATTCCTTTTTACTAAATACAATTTTCTATGACAACTTTTCTGCAACTAGGTGTATAACACATGGGCTGACCCAAAAACAACTGAATAACATTTAACATTTGTTAGCATGTTGTTTTTTTTCCTTTTAATGTTGAGGAGATGGTTTAAAATCCTCTTCCAGTAGAAAGGGTAAGACTTGATTTTATACATGTAAATTACTTATTATTTATGTCTAATGTTTTTAGCATGACCAAGAAGACATTTTCACAAGACCACTAACCAATACAGATGTTTCRAGCACACTTGACTTAGAGTAAGCAAGCTGGTACATTTTTAGATATCAGTAAATTGAATAACACTAATACAAGGTTTTTTGGAGAAAARTATTGGATGGTCAGGATAAATGCTGGCTTTCCCAGTTAGTGGAAATAAATAGAGGAAAATAGGAAGAAACCCCATAAACAAAAACATGAATTTGATTTGTAAAAGGCATAATTCAAACCAACATCTCTGGTAAGTCGTTGATGTTAGCACAATGAGAATAATCTGATTCAGTGGRCCCATCTTCTGCTTTTGTGTGTATAGCCAGCTCACCAATCATTACAAGTATAGTACTATTAGGGACTTTTGGTAGCCTAAGACCTTTAATTCTCTGTCAAATATCAAACCAATATCTGATATAACCTGATCTGCTTCACTTTGGTGTTTTAGGGTTAAAGATAGGGCTAGTGGTATTTTTTAGGATGCATGGTTTATTGTCGTACTTGTAATGGACTATGTATATTATTTATAGTCTTATTTACTATGAAGTAATCATTTCATGTCATTCTACAATTTCAGAGAGATTATTTCAGCAAATTTAGATACATCAGCTACACGACAGGTAAAAGTGATTTAAAYTTTTGGTCAAATTACTTAATTCATGATTTCGGTTGCATTTTACTCATTTTGTATCAAATATTCTGTTTTGAATTCCCAGTTCACTGCTAATGCTTACTTTAACAGAGTTCATCCTGTACCATCACCRSCGGCAACCAACCATCMAATAGGAAGAGGTAAATTAATGACCAGTAATTTTGTCTGTTTTACTTCATTTTCATGTYAACCCATTTCTAGGCTGTTCATTTTCCATGATGTACAATTTAACACCAAATCCAACATTTCTGTTTTTAAGTCCTTAACTTGTAGAAACATTTGTTTTGTAATTATTGAGGTTGTAACTGTACATGAAGTACAATTATGCCAGAGTGATTATTGAAAGTACACACTATATCTATAGGATGGCATAAATTTAAAATAGACCCATACTCTCTTTTCAAGCTATTTATAGCTGTCATTTTTTATGCATTATCTCTACAGACCAAAATCAAAATCAGAGAGATCAAAGTCAGCACTTTCAAAAACCAAAAATTCAAAACAAACAGAAAAGGTTCCAGATGTTGATGTTCTTGCAGAGAGAATTAATTTAGTTACAAAGATTACTAGCTTTGAAGAAGAGGCAAGACATGACAGCACACCTTCTTTCACAGATGATGTACTGCCTTCTGCAGCTCAAGACATGGGGCCAGGTAATGTAGACTAGATAGTTAGAGATATTACCGTATTTGCTCGAATAAGCTGAGGCGGGGCTCTTATTTGGGGGAGGCACTTATTCAAGGGAGGCGCTTATTGAAAAGCATGAAATACGCACAAAATGGTCTAAGTATGGTTTTCTTTTAAACAATTTTTACTACTACAACAGTTTTGTTATTGGTATATATCAAATATGTTAATTTTATCATTTCTAAAACTTGGTTCCAGCAAAATTAACAGCATTAACAAAATAACCAAGAATTTCTAAGATTCTAGTGTCGATGGAAAGAAGGAAAGRAAAAATAAAATAAAAGTGACACTTGAATGGAAGATTAAAAAAACTAGTTTTGTCTGTGTTACATTTYGGCATTTTAGGTGCAWTATAAAATTYATTMAAGCATTACTTGCCTTTTTCTTTCTTTCTTTCTTTTCTTTTTTTATTATTATATTTTATGATATTACCAATAACAACAAGAAATTTCAGTTTGACTTTTGACTTTTTGAAATAAACTACCAAAGAGGAGGGGAGACTAATAAAAGAATCTTTTAAAAAGAGACTACAAATAGAACTTGAGGGTCTAGTGCTAAAATATAATCACTTTGAACTTAAAAATATTGTAGTCAAAGAAAATAAATTCCCACTGTTTTCTTAATTGCACTTCTCTAAAACCTAGAATAACCGCCGCCTATGGTAGGAGGCACTTATTYGAGGRAGGCACTTGACCACAGGAAGTGCTTATTCAAGCAAATACGGTAGTRCAATTCATGTGTTACTGAAAGAAAAAAAAAATTGAASATGATGGAAAAATTTGAACTCACTGAAGTGTTGTTTAGCGTTGGGTTTTGCTTGTGGCAAAGACTGACAACTAAAAGATCTTTTTAGAACAATTTGAGTCTAATAATTATAATCATTTTTAAATTTTATTTGTTTACAGCTTTTTATAAAGTTCACATTTTGTTTGCTACYAAATATTTTAGAGGCAACCATTAGATTTTTAAAGGCAAAATTGCATGTGATGCAAGAAGAAATGGATCATCTGTCCTCTGAAAGTTCCAAAAAGGTGACCAATTTTTAATATTAAATTTGTGTAAAGAGCACACCATTCAGAGCTTATGAGTTWTCATTTATTCAATTGAATTTCAATTTAGTTTGATTAAATCTGGTATGCAAGTCTTTTAATTTTTACCTGGATAGAGTTCAGAGTTTGGTGTTTTTTTTTTCAGCAAAAAACAGCAAATCTTGTAGCATGTTTTAATCACAATCAATTTATACTTTAATAGAACTAATTGAATAAAAACATATAAACTAACATATAAAGAGCATACACAATATCAAACAATAAGGATTTATATAAATAAAAAATACAATAATAGCCAAAAGAAATCACACGTTGAAAAAGTTTACATTTGTAAGGAAATATGAGAAAATATCTCTTGTATAAAAAATCTCTTGTATAAGATTTACTCATGTTTTGTCATGAGAGAATTTCAAAGACAACTTGACAGAAGTAAGTATAGTGTCCAGAGCTAAGACAAAGTACAGCTAACTGAGTGTGTTCAGAGGTGTTGAAGCAAATTTCTGCAAAGAATCTTTGCAAATGATATATCCATGTAGTCTTTCAGAGTTACTTTTGGCATTTGTATTAATCACATTTATAGAAGGCATTACTATTTAAAGAAATACTGTTCATTTTTAAATCATTACACATCAGGTCATAAGATATTACAATATTAACACGTGGGCATGCTTGAATTCATGTTTTCAGAATTCCTAGGTCTTCCTAGCTGAAACAAATGCCCCATGAGTTTTCCAAATTATTATTGTACTCCAAAACATTTCTTGTAGCTATTGTTCATCTTTCATTGAAGAAAAGGATTCTTTTAAATGTGTAAATTAAAAATTTTCAAACTGATTTGTCAGGTTATCACCACTTATGACAATTTAAAATTTTCATGCTATACATGACCAAACATTTAGCACTTACTAGCTTTACATGGGTATCACTGGTACTGGAAATACACCTTTTGCTGTTCATTAGCGTAAAACATACATTCATTTGTGCCAAGCGTTGCTTCAATAACTTTTATTGTACTTTCTTGAACACCGTAAGCAACATCATTGACGCGAAACGACTTTCAATAGCGATATTTAAATACGCGCGAGCATTCAACAGTATCAATAGACAATCAACTAAACGACTGGACAATCATTTGGGTGGAACGTTGTTTCATGTGCGCGCAATGAAAATTCAATAGCACCAATTGACAAACGGTTGCATTTATTGACAATCATTCAACCAAAAATGAAACTTCATTAGTGTTATTAGCATAAACATAGGCAATCTATAGCGCGTTTGGACAATCATAGCCATTCGAGAATACATTCTTTAGTGCGTTTTGACAATCATTTGAGCGATTCAAAATACAATA